AAACATTGATATTTACATATAAAAAATTCGGCTCTAAGCCCCGATTTGTTGTGAAAGAACCCATTTCATATCATAAATTGTCTAATCTAAAATTTAATGTAAGAAACCGACATGAGGTTGGTCCCAATTAGTATTTTTTATGATTACTAATCATTGGCGAGCTTTAAATATTAATTGACCTCACGTTGGACCAACCTCATCTTGTACCTCAATAATTTTTTGTAATTATTGCTTTTCTTATTTGATGTCACATTTCCGATGTCTTGACTTAAAGAGTTTGCGTGAAATGAATGAATACTCAAAAATCTTTTAGTTCAGCATGAAATATACAAAGAATCTATTTATAATTTTGGTTATTCTTTTTATTTGACACGTCTCAGAACCGAATTTCGGTCCGACGCCCACTTTTAAAGTGGGAACTTTAATGATATATAATATCCTTCTGTATAAAAAAAAAACGAATAAAAATAATATTGTAGCAGCCATTTAAGCTGGACACTCTTAGAGAAAGGTGGGACTAAAAAAAAAAAAAAAGGTTTATTATTTCACCGTAATAAAAAATTTAACCATCGTTAAGATATACATTTTTTCACCGTAATAAAAAACTTAACCATCGTTAAGATGATACATTTTTTCACCGTAATAAAAAACTTGACAGAAAACAAAGTGCTATATCTTTTGCTTTGCTTTTCTTTTTATTTCAACCATCGTTAAGATGATACATTTTCAGAACACTATTATGACACTTTCCAAAATAGTCATTGATAGAATCGGCATCCGGACGTTTTGCAGGATCTTGATTCCAACAACGTTTATAGAGTTCCGCATATTCAAGAGGTGTACCTTCTACAAATGTTTCTCTCTCTCCTTTAATAATACGAAGGATTACTTCTTCTTCTTTTAACGATTTAAAGGGTATCTGATTGCTTGACATTTCCCAGAGAATAACGCCTAGGCTATAAATATCAGATTTCTTATCAAGTTTATATGAGGGATCATCAAGAAATAGTGGTTCAACGAATGCTGGGATTCCGTAATCGCATGAATTTGTTGGTGTTTCATAAAAAGAATGACCAAAGTCGGCTATCATAGCCTTTCCATTATGAATTAGGACATTCATAGTGTGCTGTAAAGTTTTGAACGATATATTAATTATGAATTAGCGTGTACGTACAATAATACAAGAATAACACAAACATACAAAATCTCTATGAATAATGTCATGATCATGCAAGAACATGAGACCACATGCTATATTTCCAGCCATATGTAATTTTGTGGTCCATGGTAATGGATTTTTTCTTAAGTATTCTCTCAAATTACCACCGTCGGCATATTGTAAAACTATGTGATAATTCATATCTAAATCTATTAATGTTAATTATAAAGTCAACATTTAATTTCAAACTGATTATAAAGTTAATATTCAAATTTTAAATAATTTCAAGTTTGTTCATATCAAAAGAACATGCCTTTTGTCACACCATAAAGTCCAGTAATATAAGGGTGAAAACCGACTTGTTTTAAAATTCGAAGCTACAAAATCACGTAAAATATACATTAATACTTAAAAGATAAAGTTGATAAGTTTTTGGGTTTGTCCGCGCCCAAATCCCAAACTCAAACCCAAACTATTATCTTAAAACTTTGTTAATAATCTTTATTTAAACAAACGATATATATTCTTATAGCTATATATAATATATATCAAAATTATTTTTTTTAATTTAATTTTATATAAAGCAATTTGTTTTTTTTGGGATTTGTCCAGGTTTTGCCAGCAAGTATAGTTTCGACTGAGTTAAATAATACCTCTTTGACAATCCTATCTACGTCCACGGTTTCCTTAAATTTTCGACTTTTCAGAGCAACCATTAACTTAGGATTCTTCCATTCAGCCTTATGAACATGGCTAAATCTACCTTCGCCAATTTTCCTAGGATTGACGAAGTCGGAGAAGTTGAAACAATTAAGACCATACTTTAATAAAGCCTTTTCGACTTCTGACTTCCAAGATTTTGAACTACCTCCCATATTATCGAATCTAATATTAATTTGCAAAAACTATATGTAATCTTGAAAATATTTACAACGAAATTATTTGGATCCTACATGTAAATTCGGATTAACAATTTTTTGAGTTTCTTCAAGTAAGTTTAATTTTACTTCATTAGTAACTACACACGATTTCGATTTTTCGAAACTGGCATTATTTAGAATTTTACTCGTTTTATTATTTATAACATATGGTTTTATATATGACTGTATACTCTGTATATTTTTAAGGAACTAAGAATTATGAAGAAGATTTTTAGAAGATTGGCTCAATTTGTTGAAGAATCTGGAAGAGATGAAATTAAGGAATCTGAAGAGGCAATTGAAGAGGCAATTAAGGAACAAGAACGAGATATCATTGATTTGAGTCTTAACTTTTATAATTATAATAAATTCACTGATATTAAGGAAATTGGTAAAGGAGGATTTGGCCCAGTTTATAAAGCTGTATGGAGGGAATGCGAAGTAGTCGTAGCTCTTAAATGCCTTAAAGATGATACAGAATTAGAGCATCGCAGTTTCATTAATGAGGTATTATACATACATAACTTTATGAATTAAAGTTTAAATATTAAAATTTAATATTTTATGTTCGCAGATTAAATTTCTAAAACAAGTTGATTTCCATCCGAACATTGTTAAAGTATATGGAGTTACTAAAGGTATGTGATTAATGAGTCTTTAATAATCGTGAGTTTATAAATTTACGCTAATTTAATTTTATAGACCCAAAACATGAATGTGACAATTTGATTCTTGGGTTTGCTGATGGAGGCAATTTACGAGAATATTTAGAAAAAGAATCATTATGTTGGTCTGATAAAGTACGCTTGGCACGGGACATAGCATGCGGTATTTCATTTCTGCATGAAAATGATATTATTCACAGAGATTTGGTACGCTTATTTCTATTGTCATGGTTCTAAATAAGGATAGGAATCATGAAGTCGTTAGTCGACTAATCGACTATTAGTTGACCAGTTGACTAAATTTTTTGACAATCTGTCGTTCAACTAATGACAAAAAAAAAAAATTTCTTTATTACAAATAAGAAGCTATATAAATAAATTTGATTGGTTAGATAAGTTAATTAGTTGGCTAATCGACTAATCGAATAGTTGAATTTAGTCGACTTTTAGTCAGTCAATGACTAAATTCTTACCGATTCCAATCCTTGATTCCAAATATATTTATTATTAATTTATCATTTCAATTGTTTACAGCACACAAAGAATATACTAATTCACGAAAGAAAAGCTATGATAGCTGATTTTAGTCCTTCTTTGTATGAGCCATCAGCAAGTTTGTATATAAGCAGAGCGCCAGCATTCATTGAACCTTTATTTCTAAGTGATCATTCATACAAACGTGATAAGAACTCCGACGTTTATAGCCTAGGCGTTATTCTCTGGGAGCTTGCAAGTGGCAGAATGCCGTTTAAATCGATGCAACAAGACGAAGTAATCATTCGGATTCTCAAAGGTGAGAGAGAAACGGTTACAGAAGGTACACCGCTTAAATATGCGGAACTTTATAAGCAATGTTGGGATCAAAATCCAGCGAATCGCCCGAATGCCGATTCTGTCTATGAAAATTTAGAAAACTTTATAGCTCAATATTACGAGAAAAATCATGCAGTTAAATACCAAGCGCAAGCTCAGCTTTATACGCCAATCAAGTTGTTAGCAGTCTGAACCCGCAAAACGATGATCCTTTTTTTACGTCAAATCTCTTCTGCTGAAAATCCCATTTGTTATTTTTGAGATTTTTCTGTAAAAATCTGATCTTTTATATATCAACTATTATAGGCAAAGATTTTTGCGTCAAATCTCTTAGTTATACTTTTGAGATTTTTCTGTAAAAAACTATGTAACTCGAGTAGATCGTTTATCTGATCTTTTATATATCAACTATTATATGCGAAGATTTTGCGTCAAATCTCTGTTATTTTTGAGATTTTTCTGTAAAAAACTATGTAACTTTTATATATCAACTATTATAGGCAAAGATTTTTTTAATAAATCCAAATGATAAAATTTTTTATATAAGTACCATAT